GCCAGGATGGGCGAGCCTCGGGCACCGCTGGTCCCCGACGCCCCCAACGCCGACCCCCAGCCCGGCCCCGCCGCGTCGCGCGGGGGCACCGCCGTCATCCTGGACGTGAGTACTCGCGGCCCGACCCGCCGGAGCCCCGGCCGGGCCCGGCTAGACCTCGCTCCCCTCTCGGAGGGGACCCAGACAGGGACCTCTATTCCTTCTGGGACCCCACGGCCACTCCTCTCGAGGGGGACCCCAACACGGAACCCCTTTCCTGCCTGGACCCGGTGCCCTTAATCTCGGGGGACCCCGAAACAAAACTCCGTTCCTGCCGGGACCCTGCGCCCTTCCTCTCTGGTGGGGACCCCGAAACAGAACCCCGTTCCTGCCGGGACCCCGTGCCCCTCCTCTCTGGGGGGGACCCCGACACGAACCCCTTTCCTGCCTGGTCCCTGCGCCCTCTCTTCTCCAGGAGGACCCCTGACACGGACCCCTGGTTCCTGCCGGGACCCAGAGCCCCTTCCTCTTGGGGGAGACGCCCAGCCTGCCGGGACTCCGCGCCTCCTGTCGGGGAACGGACCTCAACAGGAACCCCCTGTCCCCCGGGACCCCTCCTCTCGGGGAATGTTCTCCGACAGGGACCCCCTGTTCCCGCCGGGACCCAGAGCCCTCTCCTCTCTAAGCAGGGCACTTGGACCCATCCACCTCGGCAGACCGGGGCAGGACCCTCACCCCACCCTCCGCGTCCCACAGCGTGAACCCCCAGCCCCCACCCCACGTCCTAGACCGGTCTGCACCCCGAGTGCTCTCCCCTCCCTGGAGCAGGGTCCCCTTCTCCACTCGGAGTCCTCTCCTCCCTGGAGTGGGGTTCCCTTCTTACACCCTCCCTCCACTTCTCCGCTTCTCCGCCTTCCCGGAGCTGGGGCCCTTGAGCCCCCTGGACCCGGGCCACCCCATTAATTTTGTCCTAGGCAAGTCCCCATCCTTTTCCCAGCCCTACACTCCACCTTTTATCCTGTCCCTTACCGAAAGGGAGCCCCCGGCCACCCCCAGCCTCTTCTCCTCTCTATCCCAGTAGCTACTTTTCTGAGACCCCCACAACCCGCAGCTCGGCCCCTCTTTCTTCCCGACCCAGCACCCCCACCCCCCAAGCCCAGTAATCTCATTCCCATTCAAAGACCCTATCCCCCAGCACAGCTTCCTTGAAAGTGAAGCCTCTCCCCACCTAGCTTCTCTCCTCTGCATAGATGCAGAACCCCCAGGACCCCTCTGGGATTTCCCTCCCTGACCAGCCACTCTACTCTGAGCCCGTCTCTGCCCTCCATTCCCTTCTCCACTCCTCACCAAGAGCCCTGTTCACTTCAGGAACCCCAGACTCATTCCTCACTCCCCTCCCATGCCCTCTGGGAAGCCCATCCACCCTTCCTCCCATGGGAGAGGGAAAATTCCTCAGGATGGATGCCTGGGGTGTGGGGGGAGCCTCCCCCTGTGGAGCATTTTGTAGGAGGTGGAGAGAGCTTCATCAGAGGTCTTCCCCATCCCCGGTGACAGCATGGGGATGTGAACTTGTGTGTCCTAGTGAGGGTCCTGTGAGGAGTGTGGCTGGTGGGGCATGGGGGGTACCTCTGAATGTGTGGTGGGTTTCTGGGAGAGTTGTGGGTTGTGTTTCTGGGAGAGTGTGTGTGTACTTGCATGCTTTTCTCTCGCTGTCTCCTGGAACCCATAGCTGGCTCTGAGCTAGGAGGGCTGGGCAGGGAAGGGACAGCAGGACGGTGAGTGTTTGTGTCTCTGGTGCCCGAAGCATACACTCACACAGCCAGGCCCACACGCACACTCCAACAGCTGGTGCCTCTTTCCCTAGACCCATCAGAGCCCCCAAGCCTTGTCTAGACCCCTCCTGATTCCGGTCCTCTGACTGTGATGGCAGTAGACTCTGAGCCTCCGTTTGCTCAGCTCAGAAATGGGGTGATGAGTGGGCCTTCCCAGGGTGCCCCTGCAGACTCCTGGAGCTGACATCACTGGCTGTCATTCACTGACGAGTCATGCCCAGAACAGGTGCCTGCCCAGTGCCAGGCTCCAGGGGAGGCCTGGGACCCCCAGCCTTGGGGGCTTGCACTGTTAGGAGGAAGGTTGTGAGGTAGGCCCAGGCTGATTTTGGAGGAGGGTTTGGGGGGGCTCTGACCCCCCTTTCTGCCTCAGCCACTGTGGTTCCTGCCGGTCCCCAGGTCTTGGGGTTCAGTAAGGGGAAAGGGCGACCGGCCCCCTGGGAACAGCAGGGGGCATATCTGCCCCTGCACCCACCAGCTGCCGCTTCAGTCTGGCGCAGCCCCTGCGCCTGATAAAGGAGGATGACCCTCCAGTGCTACAGGGGTGGGTGGTGGCAGGGCCTGCTGGCCTGCGCCCCAGGGCAAGGATGGAGGTGGGACAGCCAGAGGCCCCAGTCTCCTCCCTGCCTCCCATCAGCACCACTTAGCTGGTGCTCGTCAGTCTAACGAGCTTATTAAACGTGGAGGAAACTGAGGACCAGGGAGGGGCATTGACTTGCCTGAAGCACCTGTGTTTCTCCCAGATCTGGGAAGTTAGGGTCTGCCACTTCCCTGGGATCGCACTCAGATATTAGTGTGCATGTGAGATCCTAAGGATCTGGATAAAAAGTAGATTTTGACTTAGTAGGGCTGGGTGGGCCTGAGACTCAGCATTTCTAACAAGCTCCCAGGGGTGCCCAGTGCTTCGGGCCTGACTCGGGTTCTAGCGTGCAGGTTTCAACACTGACCACGCCTGTGAAACCTTAAAACTGTTGACATCTGGGCCCCACCAGAGAGGGGCCTTGTGTGCTCTTGGGTGGGGCAGGGGTGCAGAGGTTTGCAAAGCCCACCAGGAGATGGTCGCGTCTGGGAGGGGGTGAGCGGAGCTGTGACGAGAGGCCCCCTCCAGGCGCCTTTGGCATTGGTGGATGGGGCCAGGGCTCTGCCTCAGGGGTGCGAATGTTGCCGGAAAGGCCTAAGAGAAAGATGCTGGCCCAGTCTCCGTGAGCCGAGCAGAGGCTTCTCTCACAGAAGCCCCAGGTCTGGGGATTGGGCTGCTTCTTTTCCCTGCCTGGTGCAGCCAGAACAGCCCGCCTTGGTTTCTGAGCCCCTGGCACCTCCCCTACCCACTCCTCACCCAGAAATCATCTGTCTTGCCGCCTCCCCCCCTCCCCGCCAACCCGTTCAGTTCGGACTCAATCCAACCTTCCTGGAGAAACAGGGCTACGAGGGGTCTGAAGAGGGTGCAAGGGCCAGCGTGTGGCTGTATCCCTGGGCACTGATTCTTCGTGTGGCGTGTGTGGGTGGGTGGGTGGCGTGGTTGGTGACTCTATAAGGGCTGTGCATGTCCATGCAGCGTGGGCAGGCTGGCAGCACAGAGGGAGAGTGGGCGGCCGGTTCTGTGGCGGCTGGCAGGGCGTTTGGCTGAACCACCCTCTCCCAGCCCTGGAGCCCACCCCGGACTCTTCCTGGGGAGGGGGCTCAGTTCCCCAGGCAGCAGCTGCTGGGGAACTCACTCCTGGGGGAGGAGTGGGATGGAGGCCTCAGGTCAGAAGCCCGTGGGGGCACCTGCCCGTCCCTGGCCCAGAGCTGACTCAACCTCTCTTCTCTGCAGATCTTCCGCCGAGCGGACAAAAATGGTGAGTGTCCCTCCCAGGCTGTTCACTGAATGAGGACCAGATTCCTTCTGTCCTGATGCTTCACAGGGAAGGGACCAGGGGGTAGGAGACAAGGGCAACCTTGAACCCCAAGGTTAGAGCACCGGGCTCTGAAGGCAGAAGGTCCAGTCCTGGCTCTGCATGTGCCTCAGTTTCCTCATCTGTAAACTGGGTATCATGATCGTTCCTCTTGGTAGGATGCCACAAGAATTCAGTGCGATGGTGTTTGTGATGCTGAGAATGATGTCCTACTTGGGTTAGTGTTTCGTGTACTTTTTTTTTTTCTTTTTATTGAGGTAAAATTAAAACAATATAAAATTAACCATTTTAGAGTGAACAATTCAGTGGCATTTAATTCACTCTCAATGTTGCACAACCACCACCTCTATCTAGTTCAAAAACATTTTCATCTCCCCAAAGGGAAACCCCGTACCCATTAGCAGTCTCGTCCCATTTTCCCCCTTCCCAGCTTCTGACAGCCACTAATCTGCTTTATGTTTCTGGATTTGTGTGTTCTGGACATTTCGTACAAATGGAATCATACATACGTGATCTTTTGCGTCTGGTTTATTTCACCGAGCATAGTGTTTTTGAGCTTCATGTAAGTTGTAGCCTACATTGGAACATCATTCCTTTTTATGCTCAAACAATACTCCATTGTAGGGATACACCACACTTGGTTTACCCATCATCTGTTGATGGACACTTGGCTTGTTTCCACTTTTTGGCTATTGTGAATAGTGCTGCTATGAACGTGTGTGTACACGTGTTTGTTTGAACACCTGTTTTCAGTTCTTTGGGCACACGCCTAGGAGTGGAATGGCTGGGTCATATGGTTGTTCTATGTTCAACCTCTTGAGGAACCACCACGCTGTTTCCCACAGTGGTTGCACCATTTGACACTCCCACCAGCAAGGGGTGAGGAAGTGGTTGGTGTATTTAGACGGTGTGTAGCTGAGCTGGACCAGAGCGTCCCAGGCTGGGGCGCAGAGACCCCACCTCCCCTTAAGGAAGCCCTCAGCCTGTTTTAGGCCGTTTAAGGCCTTGGAACAGTTACTACTCACAGCAACCTGATGCAGTTGGTTGGTGCTGTTGCCCTATTTTATCTACGCTGTGGGGGCCCAGGGTTGCTCACCCAGCATGGGAAATCGAGCTGTGCTGTAGACCCCATGGCCCTTTCCTCCACATCACGCAGCTGCCCCAACAGCGTGAGTGGCTGTTGTGGCCACAGAGTTCAGGACATTCTGTAAAAAGGTCTTTCCATACCTATGTCCATACCTAGGCCCACACCTGTTCCCATACCTGTGCTTGCACTGGTTCTCGTATCTGTTCCTGTACTGCTTCCTATACCTGTACCCATACCTGTTCCTATACTGATTCCCATTCGTGTTCCCATACCTATGCCCACACCTGTACCCACACCTATTCTTATACTGATTCTCCTACTGTTACTGTACCAGTACTCATGCCTATTTCCAAACCTGTACCCATCCTATTCCTGTACCTATGCTCAGACCTCTACCCATCCTATTCCCATACCTGTTCCCATTCCTGCGCACACACCCCTGCAGCAAGTATGCAGACTTTGTGTAAGGCTGAGTACTTGAGAGTAACGGAGTCTCCAGAGTTCCCTCTGACCCTCACAACAGAAAGGAGGAGAGTAACTAGTGTCACAGCTTATTATAATCACCATAGTCATAAGCATTGGGCCCAAAGTAACTCTCTGTGCACCTTAACCAAGATACCGTCTGTCTCTGGGCCTCAGTTTTTCCATTTGTAAAGTGGAGGTGATAACAGTTGCCCTGCCTACTTCCCTGGGCTGTTGGGAAAATCCAGGGAGGAGATGGGGGTGACAGACTTTCTCTAAAGAACATCAAGTAGTGCTCGATGTTTGTTCGTTTGTTCTTTGAGAAAATGCTGACTGAGTATCATGGTCTGCTGGGGAGAAGAGGGGACAAGATGGCCTGGTGCCTGCCCTGGGGCCCTCCTGCTAGGATAGAGCTCAGATGGCCACTCTGGTCTGGGTCCCCAGCACCCCTGGCCTCCCTCCCTCCCTGTCCCTGGGAGTTGCTGTTGACCTGTCCTCGTAATGCTGTCGGAAGCTGGGATATGAGGTCTTGGGGCCAGAGGGGGGTTCCCAGGCCTAGGCTGGCATCCAGTGCCAAGGAATCTCACTCCTGGGTGACAGCGACCCCTCCCAGGCCTCTTGGGGTGAAGATCATCAGCAGTGAGTCTGTGTGGAGCAGAGGAGGAAGGGGACGCTGGGAGGACTAAAGTGGTGGCACTGTGGAGATTTGTTGACGGAGGTTAAGGGGACTTGTCCACGGAAACAGGGAGTCTCTGTGTGGTCCTCAGAGTACAGTGGGTGGGCAGGTGGGTGTGGCTGTGTAGTGACTGCCCATTGGCTGCCAGGCTCCTGGAGCGTATGGCAAAGTCTCCCAGGGTAGGGATGTGGGCCTGTTCTCTTGTGAGCCTGATCCCTGGCCTAGAGGAAGTCGTTGGTCCATGTCTGTGGAATGGTAGCTATTGACTCACTCGTTGATGGGAGTGTGGCCTTGTGTGTCACTGAGGTGGCAGAAGGTGGCTGTGACTCTTTCTGTGTGATTTTGTTTCTGGCTGTAGGTATGTCTGTGAGACAGTGAGTCTCCATACTCGCTGCAGGGGTGTGTGTGCAGGTATGGGAACGTGTATGGGAGTAGGTGTGGGAATCAATATAAGTACAGGTGTTGGCATAGATATGGGAACAGGTATGGACGTAGGTATGAGAATAGAATGGGTACAGATACGGAATAGGTATGTGTACAGGTATAAGAATCAGTATAGGAACAGGTTTGGGTACAGCTGTGGGAATAGGTATGGGAATAGGATGGGCATAGGTACAGGAATAGGATGGGAACAGGTATGGGAATCGGTATAGGAACAGGAGTGGGCGTAGGTGGCGTAGATATAGGAGAGAATGGGTACAGGTATGGGAATCAGTATAGGAACAGGTGTGGGTACAGGTATGGGAATCAGTATAGGAACAGGTGTGGGTACAGGTATGGGAATCAGTATAGGAACAGGTGTGGGTACAGGTATGGGAATCAGTATAGGAACAGGTGTGGGTACAGGTATGGGTGGAGAGGTACAAGTAGTTATGCACATGCAGTTGTGTGCGTCTGCGGGTCTGCCTGAGGGTGCCTCTCTGATGGTTGCCATGTGTACACAAGGGGGTGTGTGTGTTCACAACTGGGCAGCTCTGTAAGGGACTCTTATGGTGTATGTATATGTGCGTGGGTGGGTGCGTGGGTGGTGCCATGGGTCCCTCCTGGGCGTGGATAGTTTCCTCCTCATTGCCTGCCCCTGCTGTCAGAGGCCGCTTTGGGGGCCGGCCCACAGGCTAGCCACACAGCTTAGCACAGCTGCGAGACCTTCGTTTCTGCACCTGAGGACCCACAGAGGCTGAGCCGGCCCCCCTTCCTCAGGCCTTACATCTTCCTCACTGGGGTCTGTGTGCCATGCCTGTTCCGGTGCAGCCCCCGGGGCCCAGGCCAGAGAGAGGTGAGGCCGTCCCTCCTGTGACCCCGTGCAGTTGTGAGGCAGGGCTCTGGGCCGGACTCCCTGGGCCAGTCACTAAACTCCCGGGGCCACGGTTTCCCCATCTGTAAATGGTAGTGATAGTACCTACCCCAGAGGGCCGGTGTGAGGATTAAGAGTTGAGCCCTGGGCTTGGCACTCTGTAAGAAATCAATAAACCCTAACACCAGCTGATGTTTACTGAATGCCTTCAAAAGCAAGAGTCTGCTAGCTTGGCTTGTCAAGTGTTTGCTTTCAGCCCTGAGGCTGTGGGCTGGGAGCTGTCAGCAGTCACTGAGCACCTATTATGCCCCAAGCCTTCGTAGCCTCTCGTTCAGTCTTCACTAGGAACCACTGCGGTAAGAAGTGTCAGCCCCCCACCTTTTTACAGAGGACAAAGGCAAGAGCTGGTGAGGGCAGATAATCTACATCAGACCATCAGTTGTGCAGTGGTGCAGGCAGGTTCTGATTTAACCCAGCACAGTGTCAAAACATCGCATAGGTATGGGTACAAGTGTGGGTATAGGTATGGGTACAGGTAAGAAAAAAGGCATGGATATAGCAGATATGGGTACAGGCATGGGAGTCAGTATGGGAACAGGTATGGGTATAGGTGTGAGAATAGGTATGGGAATAGGATGGATATATGTACAGTAACAAGTATGGGTACAAGTATGACAATAAGATGGGACAGATATGGGCATAGGTGTGGGAATGGGATAGCTGTATGTGCAGGAATAGATATGGGCACAGATATGAGAACAGGTGTGGGAATAGGACTGGATACAGGTATGGGGATTAGTATAGGTACAGGGGTGGGAATAGGACTGGGTGCAGATATGGGGATTGGTATAGGTACAGGGATGGGAATAGGACTGGGTGCAGGTATGGGGATTGGTATAGGTACAGGGATGGGAATAGGACTGGGTGCAGGTATGGGGATTGGTATAGGTACAGGGATGGGAATAGGACTGGGTGCAGGTATGGGGATTGGTATAGGTACAGGGATGGGAGTAGGACTGGGTGCAGGTATGGGGATTGGTATAGGAACAGATGTGGGAATAGGTTAGGGTGTAGATGTATGTGTAGTTACATGCAGGCACAGATACAATTGTTTACCACATGGGAACGCTGGGCCTTCATCCGATGTCCACAGGCGCAAGATGCCTCAGCGACGGGGTGATGGGAGTGTGGTCCCCAAACCCAGGCCCTCAGGCGAGGCTTGAAGGCGGGTAGACTTCAGAGACTGCGGGAGAAAAGGCTTGGTGGCCAGGCTGTCATGGCGGCTCTGATGACAGAGACTCACTTGCTGCAGACCAGGTATCCCAGTCCAGAAGTACAGCATGTGGTGGCTGGCAGAGGGCGGGAGGGCTAGGCTGAGTTTCCTGCCCAGGACGCAGACATGAAGAGGCTCCTGGCATTTGAAAGGTCACCACCAGAGGCTGAGCTCAGGCTAATTACCTGCAAATGGCCTTTGTGGGAAGTGGAGATGCCGGCTTGCTGGTCTAATTGGACCCGAGGTCCGGGCAGGAGCTGTTTTCCTCATTAGCTGACTCAGGCTCATTAGTCCTGTGGCCAGACACCAGGATAAATGTCAGTGGAGAAGGCTTTGTGTTCAGGAGACAGTGGCTTCTCACTGCCTGCCTGTCCTCCCGGTGCAGGGTGGATGGAGGTACTCGGGCAATGCTTGGGGACAGAGAAAGGGAGCTGGCAGCTCAGGGTAGAAGGCGGAGATGGGGGCCTGGGGTTCACTCAGGGCATGCCGGTACGCCCCCACCCATGCTTGTGGCAGACATAACTAACCCATCTCTTCTCATGGAGTCCAGTCTGGGCCTCAGAAGGCTCCTCTGTGCAGCCCTGCACACTGCCATGAGGATGGCACTACTGGCTGCCCCTCACCAAAAAGGTAGGGAGCCACCACTCCACTTACTTGGAGGGGCAGCCACCTGTCGTGCCCCTAGATTGAGTTGAGGGCGTGGGCTCGGATACCAGACTGCCTAGGTTCCATTTCCAGCTGTGGGACCTGGGCAAGTCCCTTAGCCTGTCTGTGCCTCAGTTCACCCCTCAGTAAAATGGGGGCCATGGTTCTTCCTACAGCACAGGCTGTTATGAAGGCTGAAGGAGTGAACACATGGAAAGAGCCGTGTGCGGCAGCGTGATTCTGCATGGTGATTCCTGGCTTTATCTTCGGTCTTGCCAACATTCCCAGCTCTCCTCATCACTGGACACTTCCATCTTGTGATCTCACAGTGGATTCTGTGCACTTCCGTGGTTGGGTCTTTTATTTGTTTGTTTGTTTGTTTGCTTTATTTGGATTTTTGGTCTTGTTTTCAAAAGTTACAAATGACTTTCTCCCTCTGTGACATTGAGATGTTTCCTGGGATGTTGGGGGCATCTTGGGGTGTGGTCCAAGCCCCCCGTGCACACACACGCACACATTCATGTTCTCTCTCCCTCCCGCCTCTGACAGTTTATGCTCATGGGGCCAGAGAGAAGATGGTGCAATGAGGACCTGACTTGAGAGTCCCCTCACCTGAGCTTGTCCCTTTGCCCGACCTGGAGCCCCAGCAGACCTGCCAGGAGCAGAGCTACAAGCCCTGAAGCCGCTCGGGGCCAAGTGTGTCTATCCTGGATGGATGGGCAGGTTGTGCCCTACACAAGAGAGAGGCCTCACATAGGCCAGCACTTCACTCGCAGCTCCCGTGCGTGGGCGCCAGGCTGCTTGCCCCCGGAGGAAGGGCATCATTTTGTAATCCGCACAGAGGTGCCATGCGGGCCAGCAGGGTTCCTTGTCCCAAGCACCCAGCTTTGAGGGGCCTGTGTAGAGAGGCCGGGGAGCTGGGAAGGTCACTGTTCTCCCTGACTTCTGCAGCCGCTCACTCAAACGGCTCCCATAAGGAGGAGCAGGGAGGGTCTTGGGTCTGGAAAGGGTTGGGTGCTGGCTGCCAGGGTCAGGAACTGGCTTGCTGGAGGTTCTCAGCAGGTGTGTACAGGTGGGAAGACCTGAGGCTGGAGGCTTGGGGACGGCCTCCTCTGGGGTCACTCATGTTTTGCTTTGAGCCCCTCCCTCGGTGGCCTGGTCTGGCCCCAACCTGCAAAACTTTTATGGGGGGCCAGATGTGTCCCCAGCAGATACTGGTGCTTAGAGCACCCCAAAGTGGAGGAGAGGAGTGTGAGGCAGAGGGAGAGGGGTGGATGGACGAGTGGCGTGGGTATAGGCACGTGAATGGGTGTGGGAATAGGTACAGGTATGGCAGACAGAGCCCTGCCCCTCCCCACCCCAGGCCTGGCCCCTCCTTCCCTCGTGGCTGAGCATCTTGACGGCTGCGTCTGTGGCCTGGGAGGAGGTGGTAACAGTAAAAACCCCATGCCAGCTGTTGGCAACCGTCTCTGGTCAGACGTGGTGGGCCTGAGGCTGCGCAGCCGGGTCAGAGTAGAGAGAGATTGTTCCCTCCCAAAGTCAGGACTTGGGTGCTGGGTGTGGAGATGCTAACTGTGCGGAGGTCATGTAGAAGCAATAGTGTGGTGGTTAATCAGACCACCTGGCTTTGGGTCTACCTCTTACTGGGGAAATTACTTAAATTGGTCTACCTCTACTGCTCATGCCAATTAAATGAGAGAAGATTGCCTATTTATTGTATTTTTTGTTGGTTTGGGAATTGTCTGTGAACAGGTGTTGGTGGTTTGGGAGGGAGCTGGGTGAGTCAGATTGTCTGTGAACTGGAGTTTACTGTTTAGTTTGGCAATTAGCTGGGTAAAAAAAAAAAAAAAACTTGTTGCTGTCAAGTCGATTCTGACTCATAGCGACCCTATAGGACAGAGTAGAATAACTGTCCCATAGGGTTTCCTAGGCTGTAGTCTTTACGGAAGCAGACTGCCACATATTTCTCCCCAAGAGTGGCTGGTGGGTTCAAACCTCGACCTTTCAGTTAGCAGCTAAGAACTTGACCACTGTTCCGCCAAGGCTCATGGGTAGCTGGGTATGCCTGGATTATTATCCGCACTAGAGTTTATCCGTTACTTTGTGAACTAGCTGGATGGGCAGGGATTATCTGAGCTGGAGTTTATCTGTTGGTGTGAGAATTGCCTGGATTTGGAGGGCGTGTGTGCCCTGGCCCTTACAGTCCTATCTTCATAGACACCAGCTGCTTTCCCTCCTTCCTTCCTTGTAGATGATGGGAAGTTGTCATTGGAGGAATTCCAGCTCTTCTTTGCAGATGGCGTTCTCAATGAGAAAGAACTGGAGGATCTCTTCCACACAATTGACTCCGACAACACCAAGTGAGCCTGCGCCCGGGTGCCTGAGCAGGGCATGGATGGGTCTGTTGAGGGGGCATCTTCCTCCCACCCAGCATCCAAGTCCTCATGTTCCACAAACTTTTAGGGGGCAGGAGACTGGAAGAGTCCCTAAACTTGCTAATCCAGGAGTCAGATCTGTTTGGCCCTCACTGCCTGGGATAATTTGGGGAATGGGCAAGTTGGTATTGCACTGGCTACGATCTCAAGTTTGTCTTTTCTGAGCACACATGGCTAAGCAAGGAGAGACCCTAGGCTTTGCACAGAATATACAGGGTAATGAAAATGAGAAATTGGCAATGACTTTATCCTTCTGCTAATTCCACCCAGTTCTAACCCTAACCGCAACCTTAATTCCTAACTCTTACTATGTTAACAAAATGCTCATCCTCCGTCCAGCGTTAACTGTGATGTTGATCCACACCTTAACACTAACCCCCAAGTCAAGCCAAACCCTAACCAAATACTAACCCTAAGTCTGACCTGAACCCTATTTCTAATCCTTGTTTTGGTTATTGTTGTTAGCCGTTGAGTCGATGCCGACTGGTGGCGACCCCATGTGTGCAGAGTAGAACTGCCCCATAGGGTTTCAAGGCTGTGACCTTTCAGAAGCAGATCGCCAGGCCTTACTTCTGAGGTGCCTCTGGGTAGGTTCGAACTGCCAACCTTTAGGTTAGTAGTCCAGCGCTTAAGCATCTGTGCCAACCAGGAACTCCCTTTCTAATCCTACTTTTAATTAAACCTCTTCCCAACCCAATCATAACCCTAACTTGCATCTCAGAATCAACCAAAACTCTAGCTCCAACCCATCTTTAAATGAAGTGGAAACACACATTCAACTTAAACCTCTAATCCTTCCAGCCTTAACTCCACCCTCTGCCCCTTCCTCATGGTTTCCCAACAGGATGAGGCCTGAGCCCCTCAGCCCCAGCGTCAGGGGGGACCAGAGCCCCCACCTGGTTACTTCCTCAGGCCCACTCAGGCTATTAGGACCAGAGTTCCTGGGGGTCTTCTTGGGGCAGATTTGGTAAGTTGGGGCCCCGTAAGACTGGCTAGAGATGGCCTGGATAAGGAACTACCACCTGGCCGGTTTGCACATGACCCAGTAAAATGGTGGCTGGGCTCAGGGTCAGGGCTGAGAGTCTCTTGGGAGTGTGAGGAGGCTGGGGCTGGGGGCCTGGGGGGCAGGTGGAACCAGCTCCTCTTATCTGGAGATGGCCACTTTGAGGCCCTGTGGCGAAATGGCTTCAGGCTGCAGACCCCAGAGAAGAGGACTTGGTCTCTGGAGCCAGATGGTGGTTTCTGAGTAATTCCTCCAGCCCTCTGGGGAGGTTTGATTTATTCTTTTGAAGCCTTTTGTGTCAGGCCACCTGGGTGTAGAGTAGGGGGAGAAGGAGCAACTGGGTGGAGGGTAGGGGGAGAAGGAGGCACTGGTGTAACCATGTGACTGTGTGACTGGGGACAAGGGAGGTGGCAGTGGACTCACCATTCTAGAAGATCAAAACTCTAAAAGCCCTTTAGGATTATTCTCTCCCACGTTCCCCACAGTGCACCGAAAACCTCAGCTCCTGGAGATGTTAAATAGGCTTTCTGCCCAAAACAATTTACATGGATCAAAAAGAATGTGAAATGCTAGTTTAAACAAAAGGAGCCCTGGTGGTACAATGGTTAAGCACTCGGCTGCTAACCAGAAGTTGGTGGTTCAAATCCACCCAGCTGCCCTGTGGGAGAAAGACCTACCAATCTGCTCCCATAAAGATTACAGCCTAGGAAACCCTTTGGGGCAGTTCTACTCTGTCATGTGGGATCGTTATGAGTAGGAATCGACTAGATGGCATGCAAGCAACAACATCAACAGTTTAAACAAATTAATCAGATTTCCTTTCTGCAGGACTTGTCAGAACTTTTCATATGCAATATAAATGGAGCAGTCTTCAAGAGAGGACAGAGCTGGCAGAACCTCTGGGCCCAGATTTATTAGGCCACAGAACCCTTTGATTCCACCTGTGAGGCCCAGTTCCACTGAGCACGTGCTTCTAGTCCAGCCCCCTCTATGCCCAAAGGAGGGAACTGTGGCCACGAAAATCCAAAACCAGTTGCTGTGAAGTCCGTTCCAATTCAAGGTGACCTCACATGTCAGAGTAGAACTGTGCTCCATAGGGTTTTCAGTAGCTGTTTTTTTTGGTCTTTTAAGGACTTTTTTTTTTTTTTAATTATGCTTTAGCTGAAAGTTTAGAGAGCAAATTAGTTTCCCATTTGATAGTTTGTACATAAAGTGTTCCATAACCTTGGTTTCATTCCCCACAATGTGTCAGCAGTCTCCCCATTTCCGCCCTGGTTTCCCATTTCCTTTTGTCCTGATTTTCTACCCCTTTCTGCCTTCTCGTCTTTGCTTTTGGGCAGATAATACCCTTTTGCTCTCGTATAATTGATGGTACTAAGTAGTACATTCCTCTTGAGTTATTATTTATCTTATATTCTTGTCTGTTGTTTGGCTGTCAGGTGGTCTCCAGGATTGGCTTCATTTCTGGGTCAGAAGGGTGCCTTTGGGCCATAGTCTCGGGGGTTCCTCCAATCTCTGTCAGACCAGCAAGCTGGAATTTGATTTTTTGTTCTACAACTTCCTCCTGCTCTGTCCAGGACCCTCTGTTTTGATCCCAGTCAGGGCAGTTGGTATTGATAGCTGGAGTGGCTGGGATTTTTTTAATTAATTAATTTATTTATTTATTTTATTGTACTTCAGGTGAAGGCTTACAGAACAAATAGTTTCTCATGAAACAGAAGTACACATGTTGTTTTATGACATTGGTTAACAACCCTGCAACATATCAACCCTCTAACTTCTCAACCTCTTTTATTTTTTGGTGAAAATATACATAGCCAAAGATACACCATTTCAAAAATTTCTACATGCACAGTTCAGTGACATTGACTACATTCTTCCAATTGTGCCGTTATTCTCACTTAAGATGAAGGCTTACAGAACAAAATAGTTTCTCATTTAACAGTTACTACAAATGTTGCCCTATGACAATGGTTAACAATCTCACAACACATCAACAATATCCTTACTCAACCTTGGGTTCCCTATCACCAGCTTCCTTGTCCCCTTCTGCTTTCTGGCCCTTGTCACTGGACTCCTATACCTCGTTAGTCTCATTTGGTTTTATGGGGCTGTCCACTCCCAGGCTGAACAGTGAACCTCGGAGGTAACTTCGCCACTGAGCTAAAAGGGTGTCTGGGGGCCATACTCTCGGGGTTTCTCCAGTCTCCTTTAGGCCAGTAAATCTGGTCTTTTTTTTTTGTGAGTTAGAATTGTGCTCTACATCCTTCTCCAGCTCTGTCCAGAACCTCTGTTGTGATCCTGGTCAGAGCAGTCAGTGGTGGTAGCCAGGCATCATCTAGCTGTATGGGACTCAGTCTGGTGGAGGCCTTGGTAGCTGTGGACAGTTAGTCCTTCAGACTAATCTTTTCCTTGTATCCTGTTCTCTTCATTCTCCCTTGCTCCCGAAGGGATGAGACCAGTGGAGTATCTTAGATGGCCGCTCACAGGCTTTTAAGACCCCAGACACTACTCACCAAGGTAGAATGTAGAGCATTGTCTTTATAAGCTGTGTCATGCCAATTGAGCTAGGTGTTCCCCGAGACCATGGTCCCCACAGCCCGGAGTGGCTGGTTTTTTGAAAGTGGATCGCCAGGCCTTTCTTTGAAGGTGCCTCTGGGTGGACTTGAACCTCTAACATTTTGGTTAGCTGCCCAGCATGTTAACCATTTGCACCCCCTGGGCCTCTGCGCCCAGGATGGGGAGGTTATCAGGCCTGCACACACACTCAGGCATGTTCTGCACCCTGTCCATCTGGGAGGGTCTGCCATCACTGTCTTCCATTCCACCGAGAGAGGCAGGTCCTTCTCCATGTTGTAGAAATGAGGATGTGGGGCCCAGGTGCTAGGGTCAGAACAAAGAGGGCTGTCCCAGGCCCCCTAGGTCCCCAGGACCCAGCAGGAGAGGAGGCCCAGGGGGCAGCGTGTCCAATGCATGTTTCATTGACCACCTGTAACGTCAGGCCCCCACCCTCCGCCTCATCCCCTTAGCCCTTTGTCCCACTCTGTCCATGAAGGGGCCGGTAGATTTTGACGTGGGGGTGGTGTGGTGAGTGGAGTTGGGCAGATGTGACTCCATCCCCCTTGGTCCTTCCTTAGCACGGGGTGGGGGGGACAAGTCATTTACGTGCCACTCTGTCATCTAGCAGGTGGGGTTCATGGAGCCACACATGGCATGTAAGGGGAGGAGGCGCGACAAGCGTTTCCAAACTGCACAGGGCTTTGCACAGCAGGGGCCAGGTGGGTGGGGTGGGGCACACCTGCCGACTCTCTTTGTCTCTGTCTCTGTGTCTGTCTCTCTGCAGCCACGTGGACACCAAGGAGCTGTGTGGTAGGTGCCCAGCTGCGGGTACTGGGATGGGAAGGAGGAGAGGCAGTGGGGGGTACGGGTGGGACTTGGGGGTACAGAATTTCCCTGCGACCTGACCTTTGCTTTCCCTCCCCCCAGATTACTTTGTGGACCACATGGGGGACTATGAGGACGTCTTGGCCTCCCTGGAGACCCTAAACCACTCCGTCCTGAAGGCCATGGGCTACACCAAAAAGGCGAGTAGGGGCGGTGGCGTCAGTACCAGCTCAGCTCTGAATTTCCCCCAGAACCCTGGCCCAGGGTCAGGGCCTGCCTGAACTGCTCATGACCAGTGCTGAGTCGGCCTGGCTTGGGATGGGCTTTGCTGGCGCTCCGAGAGGTAGCTGAGAAAAACAGTGAAGTGAGGAGGGCAGCTTGGTGAATGGCCCCGTCCAAGCTCGGCTGGTAACTTTACTGACTTTAAAGTCAGTATCTGGTTTGGAACTCGATGCCCTTTCTCAGAGCTGGGCGCCTTTTCAGGTTGGCATGTTGGACGTGGTCCAAGGATGGAGTCCAAGAAAGGGCAGCAGTGGTCCCACTGAGCCTCCATGGTCCTCAGGCAGGTCGTCACACCTGACGAGCCACAGGCCTTGCCACCTAAGGGTTTCTAGGATGAAGGGAGAGAACAGGGCAGGATGAACATAACCAAGGCATCTGACTGCGTTTCACATGAGGGCATTGTGACAAGGTAGGAAACATGAGCTGGGCCATAGAATTCCAGGCAGTCCTCTGCCAGTTCCTATTTACAGATTTGCCTACTTGCTAACATTTATTTGTAACCCCCAAATCAGTACTCATGGTACTTTGGTGGTCATTCGCGGATATATGCAGAGGGGCAAAAAGTTAGAGTCACCCTATGCACATGTTCCCAGCTGAGGCTGAACAAGGAGATATTCTGCCTTATTTCAGCTCTCTTACTGCAAACAAGTGTCCTTCTCACGGTCTGTTTCATATTGCTGCCATCGAGTCGATTATGACTCATGTGATCCCATGTGTGCAGAGTAGAACTGCTCCATAGGGTTTTCAAGGCTGTGACCTTTCAGAAGCAGATCACCAGGACTTAACTTCTGAGGCACCTCTGGGTGGGTTTGAACCACCAGCCTTTTGGTTAGTAGCTCAGCGTTTAACCGTTTGCGCCACCCAGGGACTCCTACTTAGTCTACTTAGTGCCATTTTTTCTTGTTTTTGTGCTTTTTGTTGGTGATTTTGCTGTTTAAAATGGTCCCCAAGTGTAGTGCTGAAGTCTGTCTAGTGTTCCTAAGTACAAGAAGGCTATGATATGCTTTATGGAGAAAATACAGTGTTAGATAAGCTTTGTTCAGGCATGAATTACAGTGCTGTTGGGCATGAGTTCAGTGTTAATTAATCAACAATACATATTCAATAAGGAGTCTTTAAACAGAAACACACATAAAGCAGGTTATGTATTGATCAGTTGGTGAAAATGTTGTGACCAGAGGCTCTCAGGAACCTAATTCTGTATTTCCCCTGCAGCAGTGGTTCAGTATTCGCTAATTCAGTGTTGGACTTCATAGAACATGTTGTTATGGCTGGTTACCATTGAATGAGTTCTGATTCATGGCGACCCCATGTGTGCAGAGTAGAACTGCTCCATAGAGTTTTCAAGGCTGTGGCCTTTCAGAAGCCAATTGCCAGGTCTTTCTTCCAAGGGGCCTCTCGGTGGATTTGAACCACCAACCTTTTGGCTAGTAGTTGAGTGCTTAATCATTTGCACCATTCTGGGACTATTTTATAGAATGTAGTGGCTGTGAATAATGAGAATGGACTGTGTTAAGAGTATCTGGAAAGGGCTGAGGGTGAGAAGGACTTCTGTGTGCTCCTGAGAGAGGTCCCTGGTGGTTTGGAAGCTTCCACCCTGGCCCAGTCTCCCGGTTTACATTTGTGCCCAGAGGCGGGCAGAAAGGCAGGGTGATGGAACCAGGCTCTGGGCTGGCCATCCCTGGAAGTCAGGGCCATTGAGCCTTCCCAGGGTCCTCGAAGCCTTCTCAATTGTAATTCAGATGGTCATGAGCAGCCCTTCTGCTGAGCTTCATTTCCCACACGTAAGTCTGCACCCCCACTTGGCTGGTGGCTTTTGGAGGGGACAGGCAGGTGTGCTCCTTTTTTGCATCCATAGTCAAGAGCACAGTCAATTTCCCAAGGACCTACCGTGGCAGACCCTGTGCTAAGTGTTCTCCACAATGTTGTTGTCTTCTTAGGTGCTATAGAGTTGGTTCTGACTCATAGTGACCCTGTGTATAACAGAATGAAATACTGCCTGGTCCTGCACCATCCTCACAGTCGTTGCTATGTTTGACTCCATTGTTGCAGCCACTGTGTCAGTCCATCTCGTTGAGGGTCTTGCTCGTTTTCACTGACCTTCTAATTTACCAAGCATGATGTCCTTCTCCAGGGACTAGTCCCTCCTGTTAACATGTCCAAAGTAAATGAGATGAAGTCTTGCCATCCTCGCTTCCAAGGAGCATTCTGGCTGTACTTCTGCCAAGACAAATTTGTTTGTTCTTCTGGCAGTCCATGGTCTATTCAATATTCTTCGCCAACACCATAAATCAGAGGCATCAATTCTTCAGTCTTTCTTATTCATTGTCCAGCTTTCGCATGCATATCCATGGCTTGGGTTAGGTGCACCTTAGTCCTCAAAGTGACATCTTTGCTTTTGAACACTTAAAACAGGTCTTTTGCAGCACATTTGCCCAATGCAATACATCATCTGATTTCTTTTTTGTTTGTTTGTTTTATTTTTTTATTGTTGTAATTAAATGAAGTTTACATTTCAAGTTAGTCTCCCATACACATCATTTGATTTCTTGACTGCTGTGTCCATGGGTGTTGATTGTGGATCCAAGTGAAATGAAATCCTCGACAACTTCAATCTTTTCTCCATTTATCATGATGTTGCTTATTGGTCAAGTTGTGAGGATTTTTGTTTTCTTTATGTTGAGGTGCAACCCACGCTGAAGGCTGTAGTCTTTGATCTTCATCAGTAAGTGCTTCAAGTCCTCTTCACTTTCAGCAGGCAAGGTTGTGTCCTCTGCATATCAAGGTTGTTAATGAGCCTTCCTCCAATCCTGATGCCACATTCTTCTTCATATAGTCCAGTTTCTCAGATTATTTGCTCAGCATGCAGATTGAGTAAGTATGATGAAAGGATACAACCCTGACACAAACTTTCCTGATTTTAAACCGTGCAGAATCCCCTTGTTCTGTTTGAACGACTGCTTCTTGGTCTATGTATAGGTTCTGCATGAGCACAATTAAGTGTTCTGGAATTCCCATTTTCACAACGTTGTCCATAATTTGGTATGATCCACACAGTCAAATGCCTTTGCATAGTCAGTAAAACACAGATAAACACCTTTCTGGTATTCTCTGAATTAGCCGAGATCCATCTGACATCAGCAAAGATAATCCCTTGTTCCACGTCCTCTTCTGAATCCGGCTTCAATTTCTGGAAGTTCCCTGTTGATGTACTGCTGCATCTGCTTTTGAATGATCTTCAGCAAAATTTTACTTGTGTGTGATATTGTTCAATAATTTCTGCATTTGTTGGATCACCTTTCTTTGAAATGGGCACGTATATGGGCCTCTTCCAGTCTGTTGGCCAAGTACTATCTTCCAAATTTCTTTGCATAGATGAATGAGCACTTCCAGCACCGCATCGTTTGTTGAAACATCTCAACTGGTATTCTGCCAATTCCTGGAGCCTTGTTTTTCGCCACTGCCTTCAGTGCAGCTTGGACTTCCTCCTTCACTACCGCTGGTTCTGGATCATATGCTACCTCCTGAAGTGGTTGAACATCAACCAGTTTTTTTCGTACAGTGACTGTGTATTCCTTTCATCTTCTTTTGATACTTCCTGCGTTGTTCCGTATTTTGCCCGTAGAATCCTTCAATATTGCAACTTGAGGCTTAAATTTTTTCTTCAGTTCTTTCAGCTTGAGAAATGTTGAGCGTGTTCCTCCCTTTTGGTTTTCTAACTCCAGGTCTTTGCACATTTCATTATAATACTTTACTTAGTCTTCTCGAGCTGCCCTTTGAAATCTTCAGTTCAGTTCTTTTACTTCATCATTTCTTCCATTCACTTTAGCTACTCTATTTTCAAGAGCAGGTTTTAGAGTCTCTTCTGACTTCCATTTTGGTCTTTTCTTTCTTTCCTGTCTTTTCGATGACCTCTTGCTTTCTTCATGTATGATGTCCTTGATGTCATTCCACAACTTGTCTGGTCTTCAGTCATTAGTGTTCAGTGCATCAAATCTATTCTTGAGATGGTCTCTACATAGTATCTCATTTAATCCTCACAACCCTGTGGGCTAGGTACTGTTACTTGCCTTGTTTTATAGTTATGGAAATGGAGGCTTAGAGGGGTGAACCCGGCTGAGTTGTAGCCAGACAACCTTAGCCACAGGCTGAGATGAGAGGAAAACTGAGTCAGGGACCAGGCAAGAGGTATGGAGTGCAGCATGGGACTTCAGGCCCAGGGGCACCTGGAGGGCTAGTCATCTAGGAACTGGGGCAACCATGTGGACACTCTGATCCAGGCCCTCAGAGAGGGAGCTGGGAGTGGCCACGAGGCAAGGGCCATGTGGATGCCCAGGAGCTTTCAGTCTGCTGAGCTACCCTGTGTCGTGGGAGCCTGGAAAAGGCTGGTCCCCCCTGCTGGTTGAGGCTGGGGAGTTTAGCTTGTGAAGTCAGCCAGATCAGGCTAAATGACTTCAGGCAAGTCACTTTTCTCTCTGAGCCTCAGTTTTCCCATCTGTGAAATGGGTCCTTTGAAGACCAAATAATGTAAGGTCTGTAAGCTGCTTAGAACAGGGCCCAGAACAGAGCAAAGGCAACTACTAGTTTTTATTATTGTTGCTATTAGTTGTCGTCAAGTCGGCTCTGACTCATGGTGACCTCATGTTATATCAGAATGAAGTGTTGCCTAGTCCTGCACCATCTGTATGATCGTTGGTATGTTTAAGCCCATTTTTGTGTGTATTGTGTCAGTCTATCTCATGGAGGGTTTCCCTCATTTCCGCGGACCCTCTACTTTACCAACCATGATGTCCTTTCTAGTGATTGGTCTTTCCTGATGATGTGGCCTAAGTAAGCAAGCTGTAGTCCTGTCATCCTTGCTTCTAAGGAGCATATATGCCCAGGCGTAGGCCAGATCAATTCTGTACATTTTTTCAAA